GCAAGCATGTCTGGATGTCGGTGCTAGATCAAGAGACGACAGGAGAGGCGGAACCCGGGCATAAGAAGCGCCTGTTTATCCAAAGTAGAACAAATTAGGGGTACCAGGGGCCCGTATTTGTTAGCTGCAAGCATGTTATAGAGTCCCCGTTAGGCGACAGGCTGGTTTCTGCGCAGGATGCACTAACAGACGTTCATGCTAGCGCTTATTCCAACGTCGCCTGAGTCCAGCTGGTTGAATGACGTCCAAAGACTCCGTCTTGCCTGCCTCCATCAATCTCCAACATGTTCATCTCAGCTGTGGCCTTACCTCTTAACTGCCGGAATACAACGTAGTATACGCAATCTGCTATTGGTTTCTTTCACAATTGCCCAAGCTCTCATCCATCTTGGCAAGCTCCTCAGCAGCACTGTGCCGCGGCTGTTCCCGTGCGCTGCGCAATGCCATGCAATTCCATGTTCCTTGATTCTGGGCAAGATCAAACCTGGAGCTATCGTTCTCATCATGCGCATTTCATTTGTCACAAGGAAGTTGAGGCTTCTCGATCCTCTCTTTCCTCATGCAAATTTGCGTCAAGCAGCGAAATTTGCAACTGGGCACCTCTCTTAGACACAGTGCTATGAGCTTTTCATTGAGTCTTTTCGAGGAGGAACAGTGTGATAATCCGGTCGGTCTAGATGATTGCCGGATACCCCACATTCATATCTGGAAATATACTATTCTCCGGATCATTGAGTACCTCACTTAAAAGCTCTGCTTTCAGCCCGAGATCGAGGTTGCGGATCCGTGGATCTTAATATGGTTACCATGTAGCTTGTCCCGGCCAAACATCAGCCAGGAACGCGATCCAACCTATCGGTGATCTTCCATTTCAGGACATTTGACATCTCACCCGCGTACGTTCCTGGGATGCGGAGATCGTGAGGGGACTTTCCCCGCGAAAGGGGCTCCTCGATGTCTGTTATTATATCCTCTCCTGCTCCCTGGTCTTGGGTCAGCCTGTCTTGCTGGCTTACCTTACCCCCCGGTTTCCCTCGGCGACGGCTGTTCCTGGCAAGATGCAAACTCTCGCGCGCGTTGGCACAGCTTTGCTGGCGGCGTCTCTATGTACGTGAGCTGGTGGGTTTGATTGAGGATGGTAGCTGATCTGTGTAGATGTCCAACGATGTCAAGCCCAGGACCCTGTGATAATCACAGACTCGAGCAGTAACATCTCGTTTGCTACCTGGTCAATTCATCATGATCCCGATCCGAATGCAGTGCAGCAAGGAGATTATAGCTTTGGCATGGTCCTGCCTTCCACAGCATTGACTACGGATAGTGATGAGTATATTGGATATCTAGTAATTACCGCCGCTCAATTCTGGGGCTGCCAACTCTAACACATTCCAGGTATGCCAAAAGTTCAGCGCGACTGCCTCTGGCTGGTGTGGTCTCTCGCATGGCGAGTCCGGTCAAATGACCCAAGCACTGCTCCTAGTAGCTTGGCCTTACCAAGGACAGGTTCTCACATCGTTCCGCTATGCCTATTCGTACCAACTACCGCCAGTGTACACCGGAGACGCCAAGCTGACCCAAATCTCGTCATTCGTTAACGACACTCATTACGGTATCACTTATCGTTGCCAGCGCTGCCTTGCATGGAACGCGGATGGTACTCCGGGCAAAGCTCCAACAAGCGCCGGCTTCCTCGTCCTCGGCCGTGCTCAGTCTAAGAAGGACCCGACTAATGCTGGATGCCCGGATCAGATCTCGTATGGCTTTCATGACAATGGATATGGACAGTATGGGGCACCACTGGATAAAGTCGTCAACCCATCTTACTCTCAATGGGCTGCTTTGGCGACCAAGACTGTCACTGGCTCATGTGGTGCTGCTACATCTCCTGCGCCGCCCGCCTCTTCCACCACAACGGTAGCAACGACCT